TATGCAAAAATTGTTATACATACCAAACTGCATTGACCAAAATTAAATTAAAAATTATTTGTTTGCAAAAAAAACTCCAAAAACAAGTTCCAAGCGGTTTTTTATGAGGAATGGAAAGTAAAGTAAACCATATCAGACTTTTAGCCGAACTTCTGTAAAAATATTCATGAAAAGTAATGCAATAAAAAGCATGCTAAAATCACTTCATTTATTTAAAAACATGCTCACAACTAATAATCCAGCTTTCAAGAAAGAAAATGCTGAATAAAAAAACTTAGCCAACTGAATATCTTTGACAATTTGATATTTTTGCTAATTGGCAGTGTCTTGGTAGTGATTTTTTCTTAAAATGCTAATTTTAAACCGCGCAACATTTTCACGTTTCATTATGATTTTATCATATTTTTTTAAATCAAGACACTGCCAATTACACCAAGACACTGCCAATTAGGCAAAAAACGAACTCAAAAACACGACGAAATTTTGACAAAAATTCGATAGAAACACCTAAAAATCCGTCAATTCTGTTATTTTTCATTCTTAGGCAAAAAAATGAGTAAGTCAATCTCATCAGCTTCCTAAGAAACTAATTTGATCCCATTATTTCGAATTCTTTATATTGTATGTGAGGTTGTTATCACAGCAAGAACAATTGTAAAATTAGTTATGATAAGCTGGTTAATTTACGTCTTCAAAACACGATTTTTATCTTTTGGTACGGTTATGTTAAGCCTTTTCAAAAAATTTTATCTACTATTTGTAAAAATTTGAATCCCGCATCTTGAATAGTTCCAGAGAAAACGAACAAAACGTGAAAAAAAAGTTCGCATTTTTTTTCGTTAAAATCAAAAAGTTGCGTTTTCACTGTCCTGTGACTGTAGTTCAGTTAAGGCTATTTTCTTTTAAATTTTTTTGCAGTATTTTCATGCATAATTTAAGGAAGAGAAATTAATTATTCTAATAAGGTCTTATTATTTTGCGTTACTTGAACAGGAAAACAAACACTCAGACCGGCATAAACCATCCTTTTTTTGATTCTCGATACGTAAATGCAAAAAAATTAATTCTTCGAATGGTGTTTTAGGAATTCTTGTAACCTAACTGTTGATATCACTGGAAATTGGGCAAAACTTTAATTTCGGAATGTGTTATTTTTTTCAAAATTGTTATTTTTTTCAACGAAAATAAAAAATCACAAATTAGATGTAGCAAATTTTTTTGAAGAGTTCCGAAATGAAGTACTTTTCGTTTCGACGGTTGACAAGTTTTTAATGAATGAAAGCAACAATGGGGAAATATCACTTTAATTTGAAAAGGTAACCTTTGTTTGATTAATTTCAAAGACCAATTTCTGAAAACTTTTTTAAATTTATTTTTTTTTTCGAGTTTCATTTTGCAAAAAATTGCGGTCAGAGTAGTCTGTGCTTTGTGTAGCAACTACTCACTCTGTACTAATTTTTGTATGATGCAGTCAGGAAGCACTAAAATATCGAAGTGCCAATCTAAATTAAGCAGCAATTTGATATTGCAAAACTGAATGAGCAAAACAATGCAACCCCGGGTTGAAGTCACAGAGAAAAACTGTACTTCTGAAAATGTATCAGATATAGGCAAATGGTAACTTATCTCTGTTCAGACATAAATCAGAGAAAAAAACGTCATTACTGTAACAATACCGTTTTCATTCTGCTAATTTTTTGATCAGAATCAAATCAGAGGTTTTGTTCTGATATTTTTCCGATCAGAATCAAATCAGAGGTTTTGTTTTGATTTTTGTCTGATCGTAATAAAATCAAAACTTTTTTTGTTATCTCTAAAATCAGAAATCGAAAGAGAAATGATCAGAACAGCAACTTTTTGTATAAAAACTTTAAAAATTCTAGAAAAAAGTCTAGGCACAAACGTGATTTCAATAAAATTATTTGGTCGGGCTGATTTTATTGTGTACACTTACTGCGAGAGCAAGTGTCTTATAACCGCGAACTAAACTTAATTTGACGTAAAAAATTTCTCTGAAGTTTTTTTTGCAAGAAATTGATGTTGCTTTCCCAGGCCAAGCAGTCCTTGAAATCTTGAAAATCTTTGAGAAATCTAAAAATTTTGTTTTTGAAATTTTGGCAAGATTACGTCAGGAATCTTGAAGATTGGCATAAACCGTTAAAAAAGTTTTAAAAAACTTGAAGACCAAAAAAATTGCAAACATTTTTTTTACAAATTTTCCTCCAGTTTTTTAAAATCAAGGGATTGCGAGCGCTTAAAAACCAAAGGCTATCAAACTGTTAAAATTATAAATCAAAGTTTTTGAGTTAAAATTGAACCATATAATAAAAAAACTAAAAATCATCAGAATATACTTGAGTTTATGAATTTGAGTCTTGAGTTTGAGTCTTGAATTTTTCAGAAAAACTTATGATGATTTTTAATTCAAAAAACTTTGAGGCGATAAACTGAGGCACTAAAATTTGTCAAAATAATGAAGAGTTTGTCGTAAAAACTTTACAATGTTGATTTTTTTTTAAAAATTGACCAACTAATTCTTGCAAAACTTTTGATAATTCAATTTTTGATAAAAAGAACTTTGATTGGGGCAACATTTAGCTTCAGAAGTCTTCAAATCTGTAGCACTTGATAAATTTGAATCATAAATTTGTAAGCAGTATTCTGAATGTTAAATTTTTTGTTTGAGACAAATTTTCTCAAACAAAAAAATTTTCTCTATGTCGAAAAAATTCACTGTGAATTTTATGCTTATTTGAACAAGTAAAGCAATCGAGTAGAAATTTAAGGCATAAATGTAGTTATATAAGGAAATTAAAACTATATTAAACTTTTTTTGCTTTTTTATTTTTTGAAAATCTATGATAGAAAAAGTAGTTCTTGTTTACTGAAACCAGCTGTAATCGATTTATCCAGGCTACATTTTGCCTCTCTACCCTGCTGGCAGATATACACTGTGCCGAACTTTTTTTTTCACTGCGTCGGAACAGTCTGCGCAACAAGTTACCTCTGAACTTTGTGAAGTAAGCGATAATTTCAAATTCTAGTAATAACTGTTTTTGTTTTTTGGCAACTCACGTAAGCTATGAAACACTTTTTTGGCCAATTTGGCTTCTCACAATTTCTCACGAATCTTTAATCAACTGGTCTTACGTGCAGTGTTTTTCTGAGAAAACATGGAGTTTCATCGAGTTTTGAACAATCACGTTTTGTACGATATAATCACTGGTGTTTTTACTTTCTAAAAACTTTTTTGCTCTTGAATGAGCAAAAAACGGAAGCGAAAACTTCTAATTTTGCCTAAAATTGCCCTGTGAAACAAAAAGAGCAAAAATACATAACTTAGAGTTTGTGCTGAAAAATTCTGTCAAATTCATTTATACTCGGATAACATACCGTTAAGTCGATTTTTTTTCAATATTTGAAGCAAAGGTTGTCAGAAAATACAAATGGAAAAATTACAAAAGTGTTGGTTATTTTTTGTGCGTATAACACAAAAAAAAGTTATGCAATTACTCTTTTAAAACTTTTTTTGCTATCACGAGATCTTAAAAAAGATTTTTTCGGACCCAAAATTTACTTTTTTTCCGCTCCCTGCAAATCAACCGCAAACAGTAATTCACAATCACTAATTTTCTTGCGTTGCTCTACTTCATGCTTGTCTAAATGCCCTCTAAAAGGCTCAACCATTCTGACAGCACCTTCTAAAAAAGAAAAACAAACTATTTTTTTCTGTATACTTTTGCTGCATTTACAACCAGTTAACTCAATTAACAGGAAGATTGGATTGTGTGCTATAAGTGAAAGCTTTTTGGTGAAAAGTTGAGCAAAATATTTCTCTTTGATGAGTTATGGACTCTGAAAATATGAATGCATTGGTGTGAAAATATGAATGCATTGGGAATGCAATGAGGATTCTTTTCTTAGATTCCTGCTCTGGCTTGATTTTCGTGAAAAAAAAATCATTAAAAAAATCGTTAGCAAAAAAATGGAAGAGTTCTTTGGCCTCCGGCTTTTAATATGATAGATCACTCAACTCTCTCTGATGATGATTTGTGGTAGCTGATATACAGCCTCGTGAAGGGATGACGTGAGGGCGGGTTTATGAGGAGGGGGGATGATCTCATATGCGAAGCAGACAAAAAGGGGTTAAATTTGGCTAAACGAAAATAAATTTTAGCAAAAGTTTAAAAAAAATTGCGAAAAAAGTTAGAAAAATTATATTTAATCCATTTTAACCTGGCTTAATCGGGTATTTTTTTAAATTTTTAATGGCTGACAATGAAAGTTCATGATAATTGATGTTTATCCCTGAAATTTTAGTTTCCGGTTTTCTCGAATGCATCATACGAGAAAACGAATTATAATGGATTAAACGAATTATAAAAGTTTTCTCGACCATTTTGAGACTAATAAATTAAATTTCTGAGGGTTTTCTTGATGGTGCGAGAAGCAATTAACAAATCATTTTCAAAAACCTAATCAGCAATATTTTTATTTCGGCCAAATTGTTTTCCTAGATTTTCCCCAACTTCTGATAAGACCATGCCCTACTTAGCAGAAAATTTCTGCACCTTAGACAAACATTTTTACAATCAATTTCATTTTTCGTCAATCCAGGCACTTTTTCTTCTAAATTTTTCTCCAGAGGCACTTTCTCGACAAAATGATTAAAGTTATTGCGTTTTTAAATTAAAACCCAAAAAGACCCAAAAAGACAAAAAGTGGAAAATTGGTCTGTGTGGAGAAAATATGGTTCTAAGTAAGAAGAGCTGTAGGGTTTTTCATTGCTCGATTGCGGACAGACCTCATTAATCAATTTTGACGACTTTCGAAAAGAGATTAGAAAGTATTGACCTAATTAAAACCAAAAAGATAATGTTGCCCAAAAACGAGTTAGCAAAACTTGTTAATGCGGTTTCCTAGCTAAGCTCTTCAAGATCCAACGGTTGAACTGCAATGATAGATATTCAGTATAAGTGTATTTTGTTTATACAAACTTTACAAATGGCTGATTCAAATAAACAAATCTGATTTCTTAATTAACGACTATAAATTTGATTGCTTCTAAATATTATATTGTTGATTCAAATGAGGAGCAAAATCCACGCTAGCAGCTGAGGACTTCTTTTTCGCAGCTGTTGTCATTAGAACTGCAGCGCCTCGGCCCAGCCCCCTGGTTGCCGCTTGGGAGACGGGAGGGGGACCTGCTCGGCCCATTCTTCTCACCCGTCTGGAGGCCGGTATGGAGGTGGGTGTTGCCCCCCTCAAGTGGGGGTTGTGCTTGCCCTTGTATAGTTCTCGGAATGCCTTTTTGAAGCTGTCGATACATAAGGGATACAGGATTGGGTTGAGAAATGAGTTCATGTAGCCTGGGAATACAGTATAAGTGGATCAAGGGGCTCTTTTTCATTCCCTCCCCCCATTTTTTTTGAAAATCTAGATTGGAAAGCCATTTTAACGTTGTCATAATTCAACGAAATTGGCCTGGTGAACAAGATTTGTTCGTCATACCTTACAACGTAACATCACGCATTTGGCCCATAATATCACATAAAACTTATCAAAAAAGATTGAGATGTGGGGGGGTGTAGCTTGGAGTGCAAAAGAGCTGATTAATGTTATGACTTCAATCAATATATTGGAACAAATTGAGCGTCTAGTTAAATCAACAGCTGCAGTTTCGCCCATAGTTGGGGTTTTAATATCAAAAAATATATATTCAAAATTGACATTCAAAATCTACTATTGGGTATTAAAACAAACTTTCTCGGGGTTATAAGCGAAAAGACCAATTGCACCATTTTTTAAACATTATTATTGTTTTTGTTATAATCTCATCTAAATGGGCGAAATGGCAGCTGTTGGTTTAATTAGACGTTCAATCTGCTTCTGTTCCAAATCATTGATTGAATGCTAGCAGCCTTGATGTGACTGACCTAGCCAGACAGAGAGAGTGAAGAATGTGATGGAGAAGTCTGATTGGAAGATGGGGGCCTCAGTTGCATAGCCCATGTAGATGGTCATGTATGGCAGCCAGCAGATGGCAAACGCCAGAAGGATGAAAGCCAGCTGCTTCGCTGCCTTCACCTTCACACATAAACATACACGCAAGTTACAATAATGATCACATGTTGTTCAATTCCGTTTTCCTCTCTGTCTCGGTTCGGTTCGGTTCGATTCAGTTCGGATCGATTCAGTTCGGTAGCTGATCCCTCCCACACATGTCATTTTATAACGACTCGGCGATGGAGTTGTAGAAGTTAGGCCAGTAGAGAAAGCGAGACGCCTCTCCTCCCCCCCCCCCCCCCCCCCCCGTCAGGGGTTCGACCACCTGACCACTCAAAGAGTCCCCCTTTGGTACTATTTTAGAACATCCATTGTTGAATAGTTGAGCCTAAAGTAGTTAGGCGCCAATGTGTTCAAAAATTCGCTTGCTTTGGGAATACGCGGAAAATCAATTTGGTCGACCTACAAACTTTCGACAAAATTTTCGAAAAACTAGAAAACCCACATTTCCCTCTCTTGAGAAAAATCTAGATAACTACACAGATTATAGCCAGGGGCAGATTTAGGGGGGCGGGGGGAGCGGACGCCCCTCTTCAGGGATTCGACCCTCCGCCGACCCAAAGGGTCCGTCCCCCTTTGTACTATTTTGAGATGTCCATTTTTGGTGACGGACCCTAAAAATTTTCTAATTGGCGCCACTATATACTAATTTTGAAGGTGGATGCTAATTTTTCAAAAAATGCCTAAAAAGCCCTTTGTGGCCTGTTTTTTCAAATTTTTTGTTTGAGGCGCAGAAAATTTGGTCAAAACAGAGTCTTTGTAGTGCTTTGGGAGAGCCCGGAAAATCAATATGGTCGACTTAAGAAAAATCGACATAATTTTCGAACATTTTTTGAAAATCTGCCCGCCCCCCTTTGAGAAAATCTTAGATCCGCCCCTGATTATAGCCGTTCCCAAAAGCTACTCATATAATCTTCTTTTATAGAAACTGAATGACACCATATAAATTGTCTGGAAAGTGTTTTTGGATTATCGGGCTCAACTCGGTGTGCTTTTATACTTCATGCGAGTTAGCAACCTGATTCACTTGTTAATACTTTTCCGGAGTTCTCACCGACACTAAGCTTTGCCGAAATATTTTGTTAATCAAACTTAAGAAAGCATAAATCAGACAATTCATGATTTCTTGCGAGTCAAATTTTCTACAAAAAGGTGATCTTATACACATATGATATGCCTCACAATCAGTGTACTGAAAATATAAGTTCCCAATTCCACCAAGTAATACACCTGACTTGATGAGACGTATGTCAATCATCTAGGGTTGGCACACTGAGCAAACAGTCAATTGGCACCTGGCACTAAACTTACCTTTGCACCACTTACCCTTGCACCTGCAGGTTTAGTAGACGTGTTAACCGGTACCCCGCCTCACGTGGTACCTCGTAACAATTTACATGAAAATGTGGTAGCTAGACTATCAAATAATCTCAGCTAAAATGCTTAAAATTGTATAGAGAGGTTGGATTAATGAGCTTATGAATTAGGGTTCCAATTTACTAAGCAAGTAAGCTGCGGATTTACAGAGAGCAGCAAAGAGATAGCACATGTAGAAACATATTCAAACAAAGATTTTTTGTGTTTGTGTTCGCCATCGTCCTGAGCTTAAATTTGAAAAAATATTTCACCTGTGATCATTTTTCGTAAAGTTATGAGGGTTTAAAGATTGCCATTTTGGCCATTTTGACCAATTTGGGACAATTAACGCGCGATATAATTCGCGCTATTAACGCGTAAGCGGAGATTTAATCCGTCCTATAAACCGTTCCAAATTGGTTGAACGAAGCTAATTTGCCATAATTGAATTGTTACAAGGAGCGAAATCTATTTTTTTGTACTTTATATGGCGTGTGGGGGGATGATTTTTATCGAAAAATTTTCAAATTTTAGAAAAAAAGTTGTTCATTTTATTTTATTTTTGTTCATTTTTTATGTTGTTTATGTTATTAGTGCTCCATAAACGTTAAAAGGCAGTCGGAACTTTTAGGGCTTTGCCCTGATACGAGCAGTCTTGTATTATTTTAAAAACAGAGTGCCTTTGATTCTATTCTACTACACCCAATTTGGTGGACTAACTTCAAAATTTTTGCAAAGGCTCCTTGGGCGTCAATATACACTTAGCTTGAGGCAGAAACCCGCGCCAAAAAAAAACAAATTTTTTGCATGTCTTTTTTCAAAAAAATATAGTCTGCTGCGCGGAAACAAATCGCCCGCTGAAAAATTCTTTTTTTTCCCGAAAAATTGACTCTGAAAAATTCTTGTTTTCCCAAAAAATCGCTCCCTGAAAATAATTTTTTTACCCACTACTAATTAAAGATTTATGAGAATAGCAATAATAGAGGTTCAATTTCTGCGAGTTGTTAGAAAAATTTTATTATTATTTTTTTAAATTTCATTGATTGGAATCCAAATACCGAAAGCCACAATCTAAATCAATATTAAAAACTTCAAAATGATATTTGAAACAATTACTTTTTGCAGCTGGGAAGCTAAACTGATCAATGATGACATTTAGTAGAATGGTAACAGACCGCATTGAAAGCAGTATTTCGAGCCTTGCCAAAACAAACTCCAAAGCTGTGCTCTTACCTGACTTGACTGGTTGAAAACAAAGTATAAGTAATACAACCAGAAAAAAATATAATGCTATTTTTTGCAGAAACATTCTGCAAGTTTCAACTTAGCACCAATTTTTAAGCTGCGTACACTAAAACAAACGTACGAAAAAAATTTGGAGGAAGAAAAAACTTTTCGACCAAATTGAAAGAAAACCCGATCAATCATGTCAAAAGAGCTACTAAAATTAACTTCAAAGTTTTTGGTCTGTTTCACCTAATTTTTATCCTCCATGGTATCGTAAAAACACACGCTATCTACTATAAAAAAAACGATCAATATTCTCTCTCTGGTCCACACGCTGATGCCTGAAATAAAAATTTTAGGATTTTTGGCATAAAAGTTTGACAATAAGTAACTAAAAACTAGACGATTCTACATGACTTCAGTATTTTCTAGGAGAAAGACTTTTGCTATCAAAGTTGTTTTCATTATCTCCACTGACACGAAATTATAAATGAAACGACACCTCGATCTTATTATCAAACGTTATATTTTTTGATCTTTTGCTACAAAAAGTCCGTTATAATGAACTTTATTTTTAGAAAATTTCAATCGTACTACGCCTAGATACTGCTTACACTCGGAATATTTTCACGGAAAAACTATCTATCTATGAAAAATTATATCGAACTTAGAAACGAAATTTATTGCTTCTGTTCAGAACATTTTAGATGATCAAACAATCAAACAAATCATAATGTTGCTGCTTCGTAGTTTTTAGCAGATTTGCAAGAAATTGAAAAATTTGCTCTAACTACCTTACAACAGAAACTGTCATATCATCATAAAAGAACAAAAAAAAATCAGTCTCGGTTGTTTGTATAAAAATTTTAAGCGGGAAAACTTGTGCGGCTGCACTTATCGATTATTGCAAGCTCGTTCAAGTTTCGACTAAAAAGAATTGTTATTGAAAAGTACAATGTATGGGTATAAATCTTAAATTTTGCGACTGATCAGCGCCTTTTCAAACATTGTTATTCCGACGAAAACGGAAACCTTATGCTTGGTATAGTTTTTTTATTCAGTCAATTTTCGGCGACCAAAATAATAGTTTGTAACAAATAAAAATTTCAAACCCCATTGAAGATATTGAGTTCCTGAAATCAAACTTAAAAAGATATTTTACATCCGATTATTTTTTGCTATGTTTAAGAAGATCAAAAATTGCCAATTTGGCCATGCTCTGGACTATTTAACAGAAAGAATAAGATTACGCACTTTGAAGAAGAATTTATCCATTTTTTTGAAAGCGTAACGCGAATTATTTGTGCGTGGCGAATTATCCCGCTCAACAGAATTAATCAAAATTGAATTGTGAATAACGAATTGGTCCTATTAATTTTGTACGATTCGAACTTTCACACTTGATATTTGATATTGTCCAAAACTCATAGTTTTTTAATATTATTTGGAAAAGAGAAATTAGAAATTGACATGTCAAGTTTTCAGTTTAGACCGTTTATTTTATGGTAAAAATTTTGAAAAGGGGAACAGAATGCCATTGCAGAAAGTGAATTGACAGAAACTTTTTCTTCTTGAGTTGACAATCAAATTTGTTTTTCCCCTTGACTGTTTTGTATGTTCAAGTTGCTTTCAAAAAAGCATGTCAAACAAAACGATAAAACGACAAAAATTAGATGGCTGTGATGTAAAATGGAGGAAAAATAAAATTCTGGCAATTGGCAATTCAAGCTAACAAAGTGACAATATTAAAAAAGAAAAACTGAAACGTGGAAAGTATTAAAAAGTCATCAAAATTTGTTAATGACTAATGGCTGTAAAAAACGACACTAATTTTTCGGTCTTTAATTTTTCCCTAAAAAAAAACAAAAAACCCTAAAGAAGTTGAGAGGTTATGTTCTGCCATTATAGCAAATGAAGCGGCAAATTTGGCAAGGGTATGACTTTTATAGGTGTGTTAAACACGGCAAAAATTTCATTTCTTTTCTTGGATTGCGCTATGAAAAAGTTTTTGATCGTATTTTAAAGTGGATGCTTTAAAGAAAGCTTGTCAAGCAGAATCAAAAACTGTGATATTTAGAAAATGGTGATGAATTATGGAAACAAAATCATCTTATGGCAAATTACAATTCATGCTAGAAAGCTTAGGTTTTATTTTCATTGAATTAATTTGTGGTCAAAACGGGACACTCGGTAGTAAACAAGAAAAGTGTGAGTTAGTTTTGTACCTTTAAGAAATGTGGCTAAAAAAGCATTTTGAATAAAATAGAAAATTGGTATAACATTTAACTTATTGTAGTTTAACCCATCACGTGATTTGCACATTTTATTAAATAAAATTCTGCAACTAAAAATTAAACAACAAACACTTTGAAAAGCTTTCTTTCATTCTATTTCTTTTCTTTTTTTCAAATAAGTGAATATCAACCCCGATTAAAAGGAACATTTTGATTTACATACTAATAGTAAAACAAAGCTGATATAAACTTTTTTCGTGCATGAATTCTTCATCATAAATTTTAAAGTTTGCGCCTTAAGTTTTAAAGTATTTTGATAACCCTAAAAAAGGTCAGGTTGATCATGCATCTTATTCCATTGAAGTTTTTTCAGCCGTTATTTAGAACCCAAAAAAAAAAACAGAAAACAAAGTTTTTTCGAAAGTTTTCTAGTTTCAACTGAACTTTGCTGACATTGAACTCAAGCATGATGACATCCAGTCGAACTCTGCAGCAGGTTTTAAGTTACTTTAGCTATATTTTTACTTTTGTTATTTTCACTTATTTTAACTGCCCTTTCTTAAAAAATTAACGAGAGGAAAGTCAAAAGCCGATAAATTTAGTGAATTAATCATTTTCGGCGTTTTTATTTTTGCTGGATTTTCTTGTGAGTTTTTCGAGACCTTGTTTGACAAAGAAAAGTTAAATGAAGACTCTAAAAGATTGTTTTCGTGTAGTAAAATTAGATTTTCTACGGTTTAATAAATAACCTCGTTTTTATCGAAAAAACTTTACTAGCTCGCCTATTGTGCTCGAAATTAGACAAAAAAAGCAAAAGATTTTCAAACCGGTTTTTCGTAATACAAAAGTTTGCAAAATTTTTGTAATTACGTTCCAATAACGAAGATTCGAAGGCCTTTAATATGATAAATCGCTATATCCATTCCAATGATTATTTGTGATACCTGATTTTGCGTGAGAAAAATGTTTCAAAATTAGAAAAAATTGAGCACACCTGAAGACAAATTCCTCCCCACTCCTCAGTGTCTAACAAAACCTGTTCAGGTTTTCAAAATTCTGGTCACAATTGAAGTTTTGAAAACGCAGCCAGTTTTCAGAGAAATGAGCCGCTGCTAAAAAGAGAAAAGCATGATCTGTAAGTGCAGATGAAATGAAGTTATCCACCAAAGATATGACAATTCATTCCATAGACAATTTAGCTGTTATTTTATTTGTTTGATCACCATATCATAAGAAATAGAAAGATTGTGCATTTACACGGTTAGTCTTACCATACCTGGCCCATTTTCGCCAGAGACTGGGCAAACTAAAAGGTATCAACAGAACAATTGATGATGAGTAGCAATATAGATGACAATAACATAGAGTGATTGAGTCTCTAACCGCAATTAACAGTCGAGAGGTGAGTATGTTTTATCACATAAAATGATTGCAATTTTCTAGAATGATCTAAACTGATGCTGTGGTTTGAAATTGATCTTATGATTTTTGCCAAAAATTATCCTAAACATGATTAAACAGCGATCTGAAGAAAAAATTGAAGTCTTCGAAGACTTCGAATGTGATTTCAGCACCCCGTGCAACTTTGATATAAAAAAAGCAGTCGAATAAACCCAATTATTTTTATGCCATTATGGTCATCTGAGAAATGAGCACGATTACCGAGCTAAGAAGTTTATAGCCGCTTTTACCACCAACACCTTGATCCCCTTTTTATTCTGTTGCTAAACTTTCAAATTGTAATATGAATTTTTTTACTTTCTACTTCTATGAATGTTTTATCTAAAAATAACTATTGTGCCATTTTTAAAGGGTATCTTGTCTACAAAGTATCAATCAAGATAATTAAAACTAATCTATCAGAAATAAATTTATGGCCCATTATAAGAATGAAGAGCCTACCTCTCTTTGCTGTTCTGTCGATCGTTTTCTTCTGATCATGTTGATATTTGTACTGATGCGCCTCTGCACTTTAGACAACGTCGAAGCCCCATTTTTTGCCAACTCTCCTGACCCCGACCTCTTTTTCCCGTTGGTCTCCTCGGACGAACCACTTGGTTCAATCGCTGTTGGCGGCTTGTCGCTTATCCGAACACCCGTGTTCGGACTTGGACTCGTTTTAGTCGTAACCCTACCTTTCGGGTCGTCAGCATCGGCTCCTCCGTCGTCGATTTCGTAAATCGTCGCTTCTCTTGTTAACTTTGGCGGTGTTTGTCGTATCCTCGGCGACTTCGGATTAATCGAGGATGACACATCGTTTCGCGAGTAGCTACTCGTAGACGTGTGTCGCTTTTTGCTCTTTTGAGTTCGCTGGTGTATGACGATAAATATTCGTAGGTAGACAATACACATGGTGCAGAAAGGTAGTATGAAACTTAAGAGCAGGCTGACAACTTTGAAGTTCATCTCGGTGGCGAATTCGACGTCACACTTATCGGGTGGTATGGTTCGGACCCCTTAATGTTGAAGAAATAAACAGGATGACCATAAAGTCGCGGATAATCAAGTTTGATACATTTCACGGAAATATATTATTTGTCAATTTTTTTATGAAGAGAATACCATCCCGTTACGAAATTATCGAATAACGCTGCAATTTTTTGTTGCCGCGGTTAACTTAACAAACTATGGAGCGGAGTGAAAAAACTGCCGGGAGCGCATCATAATTGATATTTGGAAAAGAACTATTGTAAAAGTTTAATGTTTTGTTTTGGAAGGCAGCAAAAAATGTGGTCGTTTTTTTTTATTAAAAAAGTTTTGTTTTTGTCCAATTTTATTCTACATTTATAACATTGACTCAAATTTCACTATATATTCACACACACATTTTTTTCTTTTTTTTTTAAATTTCTTCATGAAATATTTTGTGACCTTGATTGAATATGTGGTGCCAGAGAAGAATAGGCGGGGTGTAGATGCTGGAGAGTGTCCAGATGAGAGCGATGGCTGCCAGGAAGTTCCGGTAGTTCCTGTACTGTCTGTAGGAGAGAGCGTGGGCTATGGAGAAGTACCTGTCCAGACTCATGGCCATCAGGTTCAGGATGGAGGAACAGGTGGCAAAGTAGTCCAGAGACAGCCACAGCTGGCACACCTGGAAAGCACAAGGAGTCACAAAAGCATCTGCTATAAAGGCTGCTCATACATGACAACATAAAATAACAACACTGCTCCTATCAAGGCGAAGCTTGATTGTCCCGACTGCCCTTTAAAATCTATGGAGCAGTGTTCGTTTTGAAAAATTGAAAAAATCAAATCAAATTAAAAACATATAATTTATAATGAGTTTTTGTTGAAAATCATCCCCCTCACGCTACAGAAAGTATAAAGTGATACATTTGGCATGAAGCAAGTTATTAAATATACCGAATAGGATATCTAAATTCGGAACAATTTATAGGAGAGATTAAATCTCCACTGATGGGTTAAAGGCCTTAAGTTGCACTAAATTGTCCCAAATTGGCAATATTCAAACCCCCATAGCTTAACAAAAAGTAATGATATGTGAAATATGTTTTTAAATTTGAACTCAAGACAACACGTTTCTGGTGATAAAAAAATTCTGTCAGAAGTTGCTACTTGAAGAATCGAAATTGGTCTGGAGAAAAAACCACCCCGAGCACAAACATTCCGTCAACCGACCATAGTTTCAAGAAATAACAATCGATTATGTTGTCAATTTTTGACTTTCCCACTGAAATTGTAAAAAATCCATTTTGATCAATTAATAATCGATTAAAATCTCTTGTTTTCAATATGAAAGCATGCTCAGTTTAATTAACATTCTAATCAATTATAATAGATTAATATTGAAGATATGTTTTCAAGCAGCTATAAATAATTATAATCGATTATAATTTCGCTTTTGAAAACAGAATTTCGAAAAAGCAAAATTTTCGATACTCACCTGTCAAATTGTCAAAGATTGAAAATGCATACGGTTGGCTTTGGATATAAATTAGCCTGTATTTAGCATGAGTCATAACCAACTAAAAATTTTTGCCCCAGTTTGAAAATCAAGTATCCCGATAAATTAAAGTCAATGTCTTTAATCTTCCTCAGAAAATGAAATTAACCCCCCTCCCCCCAGTCTCATTGTCCCCAGTCTCATTGTCCCCCCAGTCTCAATGTCCCGTATGCATTTGTCAAAGATTGAAAATGCATACGGTTGGCTTTGGATATAAATTAGCCTGTATTTAGCATGAGTCATAACCAACTAAATATTTTTGCCCCAGTTTGAAAATCAAGTATCCCGATAAATTAAAGTCAATGTCTTTAATCTTCCTCAGAAAATGAAATTAACCCCCCTCCCCCCAGTCTCATTGTCCCTCCTCTGATTCTCAGTCTGATTGATCAGTCTCATTGTCAGTCCGATTGCACTTTCTTCGAATTTCAGAACAAGATTATTACCTAAATGACGCTTCAGGGGCTATGTAAGGTTTCAAGGTGTTATTAGTTTTTAGTAATTTTGTGCTTTCTTTCATTTCTATACGCAAAAATTAGGAATTAATGAGCTTCTATGCTTTTGGTTTTGGGTTTCAACCAGATAAGTTTAATTAATTTAATTATGTTTTCGCGCAGGATATTATTTGTTTGAACCGCCCCCCCCCCCACCAATCGAGTTAGGGGGATAGGGGGAGATAATACGAATTTTTCAATAGATAACTTAGAATACAATTTATGTCAACTATATAACAAATTCAATTATCGAAAAATACTAAAAACATCAATTTACCTAAAATTGTAAGTGCATAAAAAACAAATTCTGATAAAAAAATTTCAAAGTATTTACATTTTGCGAGAAATTCATTTTTTAAACAGAATTCATTTTCATAATCAATTCATGCGTGGGAGGTCATTTTACGTAGGTCACTAAGGGGGAGATTTTACGGTTGATCCGAAAAATATGTTATGCACCAGTGCGACGGTGTTTTATTGCTAACATTAGAAAATGGAAAAAAGTTGCTGTTCCAAATATCGAAGAAAGTAAAGAATATGTGTGCTCGGGGTGGTTTTTTTTTATTCAGACCAATTCTCAAAATTTCTTCCAACGGAAAATTGATCCATGGATCCTCCTGGTTGTAAATGGGGCGCGCTCACGAATTGTATATACTGCCTTTAAGTATGCTGTAGAACGCTCATTATTCGACTAACGTGACCATAAGAGGGATGTGATACTTTGATGCTTAAAGTTAAACGCGCATTTTTTACGCGTGGTCAAACATCGCGCACCAAAAAAGGGTTCCAAATTGAATTGAGACAGGCTAACTAGTTTTAATAAGTCACGATTCGGCACTTTTCCAAACCACTTTTGAATTTTGGCTCTTTTTCCGGCTATTTTCCAGTTCCCCCCTTTCAAATTCAAATTTGAAAAGCTTATTTAACCTTGTCATAATGCAATGAAATTGGGCAAGGTGAACAAATCGACAACTGTGAACAAATTTGTTCTTCATACATTACAGCGTAACATCACGCATTTAGCCGTAATAACACGTAAAACAAACTTAAAACTGGGTATTTTGAAATGAGGGGAACTGGAAAAGAGCCGTTTTCCCTTTTCCCGCCACCTGCAAATTTATACAAATAAACGTTGTTGATCACATTGTCCGATTGTATCGACAAGTGATATGCAGACTACTTAAGCTTTGGCAAACATATTTGGTCTTCATTAATAACCTCGTAAACCATTCGTTACACCAAAAACTGAATTGATGCTCGTGTGAGATGGGAAAAAGAAAAAAGCCTTAATTTTTTCAGATATTCAATATATGAAAGTCTATTTAGAATATTTATCAATTTTTTAAATGCATCAAAACGTATAAGCTTGAACAGATGAACAAATTTTCACAATTTTCCTACATACAAAATGCTTTGCAAACAGTTTTTCAACAGCTTTATTTTGTAATTTTGCGAGGTCCTGGAAAACTGGAAAGAGCCCACGAATCTTAATATTCAGCTTAAAAATCAAAGTTTTACAATATTTCAAGAACCATAAACCATTTGAGACCAGTTTATGAACAGTCGGAACATTCAGGGTTTTGGCCTGATACGATTAGTCTTATTTAAGTTATATTACTCATTTAGTTGTTTTCCCTCGTAAGCCAATTTGTTTTATCACTTTTTAGTTTATAAGATTGTAATTTGAGCTTTTTATCTTTTATGTGTTCGCCTCTAATTTTTTGCGATCATGCGTACAATTTCGTTTTAAATTTCATCCAATTTCATCAAAGATTTTAGATGTGTCCTAAAATTGAGAACAAGACTGCTGGTATCAGGGCGAAACTTTGAATACTCCGACTCCGTTATAGTTACTATGGAGTAATTCAAAACAAAATTAATTGTGAAAATTTCAAAAAAAAAACTTTTTGATTGTTGTTTTTGAAAATCATCCCTCCAAACGCTATGTAAAATACAAAGTGACACATGAAGCAAAGTATTAAATAGACCAAGGAGCATTGTTATGATTTCTAATACGGATTCAATCTCTGGCGCGTTAAAAGCGCTTAATATATCTCGCGTTAATTGTCCCAACTTGGCCACATTGACACTTCTTAAACCTTCAAAACTTAAGAAAACTAAACACAAACTAAATTTGTTTTTCAATTTGAGCTTAGAACAACAAAACCTTTCAAATGATAAAGAAAAAATTCTGTCGAAATGCTAGATAAAAAAGTCTAAATCTGTCTGGAGAAAAAAAATCACCCCGAACACAAATATTTGGTCGCTTTCTTTAAAATTTGAATAAATTACGTGCATATCAATCCCGCCAAAAAATGCAAAATTGCTATTTCGAAATGAAACAATTTAGAATTCACAAAGCAACGCAAAAATAAAACACTGGATGTTTATGTGATCTTTTAAAGAGTTTTTAATCAAATAGACACCATCTTGTTGAACAATTTAATATGAATGTGTTTTGAAACAATTAATCTAGTGAAATCGTATATAGCAAAATGTCTCTGTTGTCGATGATACTATCCCAGACTGAAAAAAAAATCAGAATTTAAGTATTGTTTTTTCAAAATTGAAAGACTGGTGAACTTAAAAAAATTGATAAATCCGAATTTTAGTTGTGTCTAAAAGTGTGACAAAAGATAAAAATTTATTTTTGATGAATGCTTTCAAATACTTTGGTGTTTGTTCAGATATCTATTGCCAACTCAAACAACACAATTTCTTTGTGAAAAGCAATTAGGGTAAAATTTTCCAGCCTTCTGTATCATACAAGAGACCAATTCAACCAAAAAAACTTAAAAGCATTTCTATCAGAGGCGGATTCAGGGGAGGGCGAAATCACCCTTCCTTCTACGAATTCGACACCCTCGCCAACCAAAGGGCCCCTTTGTTATTATTTCGTGACACTGAATTTCATCTAAGCAACAACCGAATTAAATTTTTCGAAAAGCGCATCTGGCGCCAATATTTACTAATTTTGAAGGGGAGCGCGTGCCGAAAAAACGCAACTTTGTGGTCAAAATTTTCTAAAAACGGCCTAAAAACATCTTTTTTGGGGTATTGATTTTTTTATAAGTTGCATGCGGCGCGGCCATTTTCATCAAATAGAATCTTTATGATGACTTGGGAGGAGAGCTCAGAAAATGAATTTGATCTAAAAAATGGAAAAATTTTTTTTACATTTATTTAAATTCCGCCCCTTCGATAAAACCTTAGATCCGCTCCTGGGACGTAGCAATTGTACCTACGCTATAAACATTTTCCATTTTCAGGCACAAGTTTAAGAGTACTCTGAATTTTCAGATTCGAAAATAATTTATTATATAAGTATAAATCGCGCTAAAATTAACAGCCTTGATTCTAATATTTTTAGGTTTAGATTAAAGTACTCAGTTTGATCGCGGGTTGACCAAAAAGTTCTTATCTTACAACTTTTTTCAAAATGCATTTCAAGCTATATGCATTTCCATCACGGGCGGACTTAGAGGGGGGATGCAGATGTTCCCCCCTCCCTCCTCTTTAGGGATTCGACATCCTCGCCAATCAAAGGGTCCGCATTTTGGTATTACTTTATGACACTCAATTTGGGCTGACGAACTCCAAAATCTTCAAAAAATGCCTTAATGCCAATATATACTAATTTTGAAGGGCAGTGCTTGCAAAAAAACGCAATTTTGAGGTCAGTACTTTCCAAAACGTTCCCAAAAACGGCAATTTCGACCTGTTTCTTCAAAAAACTCCCTCCGGTTGTCAAAAAGGGTTTTTGTAGCGTTACAGAAGCACTTGGAAAAAAACTTTATATAAAAAAGTTAGCATTACGGTTGCGCTCGGAAAAAAAACATTACGGGAGCGCTCGGAAAAATAGTTGACCTAAAAAAAGTTTTCAAAAATTTTAAAAACGGGCCCACTCCCCTCGAAAAAATTCTAGATAAATTCGTGTCTTTTATCATGCATATGCGAAACTTTTAAATAACTAACTGTCACAAAGATTTATACATAAAAGAGCAAACCATTTGCCAGGCGTGCACTTAACTTGAAGACCAATTACATAAAAAAGGTGCCCTACAATTTACAAAGAACCAATTTTACGCCGTGCATTTTGCTGCTTAGCATTTTGCTGTTAGGTAAGGTCACACCAAATTAAGGTTGTATGAACTACATATCTTAACTTCTATCACATCTTAGTTAACCCTCTGATCAACGCACCGCACCTATCACATTAAAAAGTTTAGTTCATCTCAGTTAAACTTGTTTTTATAAAGTTTCCTAAATCGCCTAAGAATCTATTTCTGATTAGATGTCTCACTGAACAAACAAAATTTAAAAGAAAGGCCGGGCTAATTTATAAAAACTTGTGTTTCTGATTAAAACAAAAATTATTGAAACAAAAATTTGACAGTCAGTTTATGCTGTACTTAAGTCATAAGAAAACGCAGAAACTCAAATAAAACTAGGATCGAGTCTTTTTTCGATTTGACAGGTTCACCTAAGAATAACCCAATTCTTATCGCGTCCGTCCACGATTTTTGTTTCAAGCAAAAAATAATTTTACGGAACACTGGATTCGCTCAAAATACAAAAACGCTAACGTCAAGCATCTGCCATTACAGAAAAATAAAAGTTCGAGATGCGTGGTGAGCACAATCATGCCATTTCAGCGCGAAAATCAGATCTTCGAAATGTCATCAACCATTTGAAAGAGCTCTGCAAAAAGTTCACACAGACTGTTGCAGTTGTCAATGCAGTTTTGCGGGGGACCTTCATCGGGTTGTTTTTTCCAACTCCTACAGTGTTTTAAGAAAAAATCAATGAACTGGCTCAGCAAGTAACCTACAAAACAAACAATAATTTGGCGTTGCCCTTATGAATGCTGCCTTCGCTTGCAATTGAAAAAAAAATGGCGAGACTTAAGATATAATCTTTCAAAAATTCAGAACGTATGCAAAATAAACTAATACGAACGCAAAATTTTAAGTTCAATTGACGAGCCGCGTCTCTACTTTGGCGCTAAGTGTTTAAAAAGCAAGGTGCCAAACACGAAGTTCCCGTCCCACACTTCCGTTGAAACCAGCAAGATGCGGCTATGAGAGGGATTGCTACAACAACATATGCTGACAAAAAATAGCGAGTTTGCATCCAAAATTTGTCCAATAAAGCTTATCCTAATATGAGCATCTTGCTTCCGTACAATAGCTAAATATTTTCGACAATCGAATGGCCATAAATGACTTTCTACAAACACAAAAATACTCTGTACTTTTTCAAAGCATTTTCTAGTTTATGTTAAAACAGTAAGTTTTGTTTCATCTTTCTTTGACGCATTCGTTTTTAAATTTAAAATTTTTTATCCTATTTAAAACTTTGATAGCATTTTTTGAAAAGACCTCTCCTTACAGATTCCCGGAAAAAGGAACGTGACTTGCGAATTAGTAATTTAGTCCCAAGGCAATTGTAACTTTTTCGAGATTCACTAGGGGTTGAGACCAGGTTGGGACTAGGGGCTGGCAAACTCTTTAGCTTTGCGTTTATGTGCAAACATTAAAAAAAACCGCTGAACACAGCGATTGGTTTTGGCTACAGGTTTAGGCTCAGGAATGATTCCAAAAATGAATGATTTTTAGCTTTTTGGCATTAATGGATTTTTTTCATTTTTCTGTTCTTACTAAAAGTGTGTGGAAAACCACGTCTTTTTAAGTCAAAGAAAATTTGTTTTTTTTAGGGTCATTGGAGATTCGTTGAAAAACTGCTTGTTTTTGTCTGCATCATTTTAACAGTCCGAATTGTTGGCAAAGTCAATTTTGTTCCAACTTCACGCTAATTAAGTAGCGCAAAACTACCCGGGTTCAAATGGCAGAAATTTTTCTCGCTGAATTCTTTGATGTTTATTGAAGTCCCATTTGAAGTAAGTTCTCTATTCATTTTGGATGTAAACGGAGTTAAGTTGTAGAAATAGCTTTAAAATTTGGCTATTTTAACTTGCTAATGTAACAAAAATAGGTAATGAAATTGTATGTATGGTGTTAAGTTATTTAGTAATAACAAGGTGGGAAACGATATAAAGATACTGGTCTTTTTTCTCATTCAAGTTGCTATACTAATACCACTGAGATTTGGCTTTAAATTAAATGATCAAGTCTTCCAATTTTTAAGAAGTAACATTTTAGTTCCCAATGATCTAGAAAAAACTTCCGAACAATCGCATTGAAGCAATTTTTTCTTGCTTTTCGCAAACAATTACGCGAACAATTTTTATGTGTATCCGGAAAACATATTTTTGTGTGGTTTTTTAAAGATATTACGAACCTAATATTTTGCCTGACCCTGCTGTGGTGTCCCATTCTATATTTTATTTCCGAAAAGGGGTCTCACTAGATCAGCTGAACAGCTCATATGATGATGTAAGTTTTTAAATGGTTTTGAAATAAGGACTATTGTGATACGTACATCTGAAATAAAGTGTTCTTTTCTATGTTCAGAAATTAGAAAAGGTCAGAAAAAGCTGACGAGAGTACTAAATTTCGATATTTAGTTAGCACTCCTGGTGACTTTGATAGTCTGGACATTATACACTCTTGACATAAAACCGGTCACCTACCGGTCGAGGGTATAACAACCGGGCTCAGATGATGGTAAAGAAAAACAGTAATTTGTTTGGTTGATTCAGATAAATGTAATGCTTAAAGAGTTTGCGTACAGGTAGTCCTAAGTTCCAGGTGTTGTCGTTGAGCACGAAGTAGTAGGAGGCCACTGGCATCACAAATGCCCCTATGATCAGATCGGCACAAGCCAGACTCCCGATGAACAAGTTGGACGGGGAGTGGAGGCTCTTGTTACGCACCAGCTGAAACAAAAAAGGTGCTACTAGGTCGCTTTCGGTGTCACAAGTCGATTTCGAAGGTCCGAATGACCGTAATGCCTATTTTTTAAACTATTTTTGAAAGCATTTTGGTCTTGAATCTATGGAAAGGTGTTGGAATATTTCATTCAATTCCTCTAAAGCATTCATCTAATAGATTTTGACGATTTCACCACGCCATCCCATTTTGTACAATTTCATGACTTTTTCAGTCAGATCTTATGTTTTTAAGATACCCATGTAACAATTGGTCACTAAATTTGGGGGATGCGGTGCTAGCAAAAACGACATTGGTTATAACCTTCCAAATATTTTGACGCGGCGTTGAGAGTTTGACCGCAACATCAGTTTTTGCTGATTCAGAGGGCTCAAAACAGATTTATTTGATTTAAAAATTTTTGAAAATGTTGAAGGGTTTTTGAAACTCTGGTTTCCACCCCCTCTAAAATCCAACTGATTAGAGGCGACATAGTCTAATGACTCACCACATACAGCACCAGTCCATTTCCGACTGACGTCACGACGGAAATGACAATGAGTAGAGCGAACAGCACAATGCTCCAATCTAAACCCAGAAAAGTCCATGAATATCCCCCCATTACACCACCTCTGCCCATAGCATCGTGGCCGTCATCGTGGCCACCACCACCACCACCAGTAGCAGCAACAGACGAGGCCATTAATAATTCACTATTACTATCATGGCGCACAACATCCATACCGAGTATGTCCATAACAGTTAAACAATAATAAAAAGAATGCGACACAAAGACTTAGTTGAAAAAGACCTGCAAACCTATTTGCAAAGAGTTCTAAGATAAAAAATTGTAATTGAGGGCTTAAAAGATCCAGACTAAATCACACCGCTTTTGTGAGACTGTAGACTCGTTACAATTGATATAATGTAATACGTTTAATTGAAATCGTAGGGTCAAATATCGGGGGAATTGGTGCGTGAGCTGTTGTGGGTCCATCCTCTTTTTAATATCCGCACACCCAACAGTGAAATCTCCATTATCATTACGCAGCATGACTCCGCTTCAATCAGGCAAGTATTGGAAAATAGTCACAAGTTAGGCACCATTTCACAAGGTGCCGTCTCGTTGCGTATAATGAGCAAGAGTTAGCTCAATCGGGCGGGATTTCACGCTTCACTTCACGCTAAATTGCCCCAGAGAACAAAAATTAGACCCTTAACTTCATCATTGCAGATTGAAGATGACGATTGAAGTTTACTCGAGAACAGATAAAAAGCATTTGAAAATAAAAAAACGCAGGTCAAACTTTTATTATCGAAAATAACTGATTTGCGATAACCAGTAAAACCGCTTATGCTGGTGGTTATAAAATGAGTTAGAACTACTAAAAACAATTATGAAGGAGGAGCTTAAGTTATTAAAAATAGCATTTCGATACCAATTTGATGGCATGAATGTCCGTGTTTGCGAGCTGCGAATTATTTCGGGTCATTTTTTGCTTCTGGTATGAAAAGAAATCGAGTTTAGATTAGAAAATGAAGAACTGAAAAGACTAGAGGGACATCAAAGAGCCGGATTTATTTCTTGATAAAAAGTATATATGCAGCCGCCATCGGAAATTGCTCATGCATTATATAAAATTCCAATTATCAGGTCAAATAACTGTACTTTAATAATTTCGGAAATATTTTTGATAAAAGTAAGATGGAAACGAACTTCATGTTTTAATCCTCGACACTATTTTTTTAAATTGCAAGGAAAGTTTTCCCTTATTCGAATCCGTATGATGCAAGAAAACCGAAAAAATCTGTAAATGAAAAAAAACAATAGAAAAAAATCTGTGTTTTTAAAATTAACATCAAGAAAGTGGCGTTGCTATTTTGGTATTGTTTTCGCTCCACTTTAACTTGAACATTTTGTGCAAACTAACAAGAAGGCACAGATGTCTCAAAAGTTCAAGGACAAAAAACTATTGTGAAAACTGTGATAACATACAAATAGCAAGTTACTGGCTTCCAAAAAAAAATCCAAAATAATCTCAAATCAAAATGTGAGTTAAAAATATTTTAAGTTCTTCCATGCAATAAATTCCTTAGTTTTAAATAATTTATCAATCATTTTGAAAAACCCAGTTTGGAAGATCGATATTAAAGCAAATGATGTCCGTTTTCGGACGTCTCTGAATCTTTAGACGACGGTTATCAGACTTCTTCGGAACAGTTATTATTTCCTCCAATATGCTATGGACTTAGTTGCCTGAGAATGTTGCTCAGATTGATGATGAAGTTGAGTGCCATTAAGCAAGTAAAACAAAATTTTTAAAAAACGTTAAGGCAACTAAAACATCGCGTTATATATGTACCTGCCAGTTTTTATGTATACAACAAAACCTTGAGTAGCATCATTACATATTCACTCGAGAGAACATAAAAAAGCATTGCTGCCTGTCTAGTGAAGTCTCTAAAACTATTTTTTTCATATTCATACACAGAATAAGGGAAACAAACAAAATAGATAACTAATTGCCCAAAATGCCCCTCTGTGGTACTTTTTTAAAATAACCAGTTTTGGCCAATCAACCAAATATTTTTTCTCTAGTCGCCAACTAATTCTGAATAGAGGAGGGAGCATGCGCCGTAAAAAGCAATCTTTAGGTCAAAACAATCCAAAACTGCTCAAAATAGCACCGGTGCAGAAAACTGTGGAAACGTAAGCTTTGATGAAGTTTTGAAAAGCTTGAAAAAAATCAGCTTGATCATTCTAAGAAAGAACCAATAATTTTTTATCCCCCTCACCGCTTAAAAAATACCTACATCTGCTTTGTCTCATTCTTGGAGTGCAAATTTTGCAAAATGCGATATTCTTGCAAGGTTTGAGTTATTCTGATTGCATCACTGAACTCCTGTGGCCATGTAAAATATTTACCCGTGAAGTAGAAACAAATTTTTAAGCAATCCTGTGAATTTGAATTTGCATCTTGTGACTTTGACCTATATTTAATGATTATTAAATTATAAACTCATAAGTACATTCTGATAAACGAAAAAAAAAACGTTTTTTTTCTCAAATAACCACTATTATTTGCCTAATCTGGAAAGATATCAAAAATGATAATTATTTTTTGAACACCTCATTTTTCAAGCACTGGTTCATTTTTTAAATGAAATTTTTTTACTGGAAAAAAAACTTGCAGCTATCGGAGCCCTATTAGGCTAAATTTCTGTAAACAGTTAGCCAAAACTACAGAAAAAAAAATCAATTGAAAACTCTGCACAAAAAAGCTACATCTGCTTTGGCCCAGATATCAAAAGTGATAAGTAATTTTTGAACACATCATTTTTCAAGCACTGGTTCAATTTTTTCGTGAAATTTTTGTCCTGGAAAAATATGATTCAGCTACCGGTACCATATTGTGCTAAATTTATTTAAACAATTTGCAAAAATTATATAGAAAATTCATATGAAAATTCTGCACGAAAAACCTACATCTGCTTTGGCCCATTCTTGGATTGCAAATGTTGTAAAATCTTGAAAGTGTTTCGCATGACTCTTGCAAGATTCTTGCAAGATTAGAATTATTCTGAATGCACCTCGAGACTTCCGTCGCCATGTAGAAATTTTACTGATGATGTAGAAACATATTTCTTGAGCAATCATGCGAGTTTGCATCTTCTGACTTCCGTCCTTATATTTAATGATAATTAGATTAAAAATTCGTAGAACCAAAAAAACTTATTTCATTAAAAAAACCAGTTGTGAAAGCTTAATTTAGGTCTTCATTGGCAATATAGTTTTCAAAAAAAATAAATTATTACTGTGCAAAAAAGGAAAAAAATTTTAAGATTTTTTTTATAACCACACACAAAAAAAACGGATCTACTTAACAATTGTCGCCCCCTCCTTTGATATCTACTTAAGAATTGTCACCCCTATTAATAAAAGCAGTAAATTAGCACTGAGCTTTCTGTTGAGAATTAGAAATTTGCTGCATTCTGATTGGTGGAAAATGCGTTATTTTAATCTACTTAACAATTGCCCGCCTTCTTAAAAGGGGGGGGGGAATGGTTAAGTAGATCCAAAAAACTAAACCAAATTGAAGAAAAAAAAGCTTTTTTGACGAATGTAGGAACGTTCCTGTGCCACAAGCACAACAACAGGCAATTCTTTTAATTGCTCACAATTATTGCAACCTAATGTAAAACTTTTCACTTATAAACAACTGAGGATTTTTATTATTGGAGACAGTATCTTTAAAAGCAACTTTAATTTCACATTGAACGGTTTCAGAAGGGAAAATTGTTAACAGTTAGTTTTACACTGTCTGCCCTATTTAAGCACTAATTAGTAAACTACACTAATTTTTTTCTCACCAATTAGACTCATCTATGACGGTATGAAGCTTAAGAATATCTGTGGTGTAAAATTCACGCCAATAAGTAAAATCAAACCCTTCTCGCAAAAAAAAACTTTTAAAAAATCTATGTTTAACTTTTTTTCTCAAAAATTAACCGTGGCTGGAAAATAGTGCTATTTGCACTGTGAACGGCTAATCTAATCTATCTCATGCATTTGGATTGAAGTTGGTGGAAAATTTGCAGTTCGAATACTTCAAAGTTTTGGACAAGCCAAGAAGTTATGTTAGCGTCAACATGCGGTTCATGTCTTCTGGCAAACATAAGCTTCCCGTTAATAGCTACTAGGTTGGTTGTTTCAAATTTGATGATGAAATAATGTTTATTCATGTAGTGACCCACGTGATAGCAAAAACACGATCAGCATGTATTGCTAAGGGATATTTTTGTTAGAGAAAACAGATTATTTGTTTTTTGGACAAGTTAGAGGCTCCCTCTGGCTCTTTACCAATTCAAAATCAGGTTCAAAGGCAAGTTCCAAGTCACAGTCAGGGTTTATGTGAGCTGCATTGTAAAGTTCTATAACAATCTAGAAAGTCGGCCCCAAATGATTAATCTAAATACTCCGTTAGAAGACACCAAAGTTATTTTTATTAATTTGAACTAAAAATGGCGTCATAGGTGAAAAATTTTTAAACATTTTGACGAATTGAAAGCTGTTTTAGACTCCTTGAAGGGTAGTCGGAACATTCAGGGTTTCATTTCAATTTACATTTTCTAATGCTAAAAAGCATGCTTACTTTTAATTTAAATTTTTTTTGTAATAAACCATTTAATGCTTTTATTTCTAGTTCGCTTTCCAAAAACCCCCACCTTCCATTCCGCATTTGACTGGAAATTAGCAAAAGGTTTTGACTTAAACGAGCGTTGAGACAAAACTCTGGCATTTTTTTCTGAAATTTTAGTTGAGATCAAATTTTAGCAATTTTTGTTTACTTCTTACTTGAGACCAAAACGTTTTTGGCAAAATCAAGCACTTCCTCGCAACAGATATACCACAAATTTATCTAAGTTGAGCACAAAATTACTCAGACAAATTATGACATAGAAATTAAAAGTCAAACGCAATGTGTTACATGCCAATTGATGCACAAATGCTTGAAGGGCTGGTTCCCTTGTTTCTAAGCCGACGACCGAACATTTCTGAGCACAAAATACAAAAAAAACTGCAGACT